ATAATAATAATAATAATAATAATAATAATAATAATAATAATAATAATAATAATAAAACCAATTATGCAAAATAAATAATCCCAATTATTCATAAACAAACGGGGCGTTACATTCTCCATCTTGTCTCGTTTACATTTTTAGGCAGATTCTTGTTTTCATATAATTTCTTAGTTGATAATTCATTCCCACCTTATCTGATTAGTATGTCTAGGATTTATTTTGCTTATATGTGTTGTCAATACCAATGCTGAATTCTGAACCGCCTTCCTCGTGAGATCGACCCGGGGAACGTATCTTTTGATTCGATACTCGGTAAAAAGAATAATTTGTACACAACAACCATTCTATGGGATTGTCCAATGGGACGCGATTGGTTATAACTAAACTCTCCAGGCTCCACCCATGTTCTCGAATGCAAGATATTGACAGGAGATTACGCTGGCGAGAATGTGTTGATTCCTAGAATGAATATCACTCCATCCGATACTAGGATTTCGTTTAAGTTCCAACTGCGACAGTTTCCACTTATGATTTCGTATGTCATGACCTTAAACAAGAGTCAAGGACAATCTTTATCGTACGCTGGTCTATTCCTGAATAAACTTGTTTTTAGTCACGACCAACTGTATGTTGATGTTTCACGTGTAACTAATAGAAGAGGCTTGAAGATATTAGTTTTTGATAATGACGAGTTACCCAACAATCAAACTCATAATGTTGTGTATAAAAAGGTTTTTAATAATATATGATTGTTTCGTGACGAAACAATCTTTTATTTTCAATAATGTTCCTATGTATTATAATTATTTTGATCCTAATGAATGACATATTATATTATTCTCCAAAATTGTACAGCACGCGCATCGCACGGGTTTTACACTAATGAAAAGTTAATAAGATTGTAATTGTCGTGTATCTATCATTATTAAAATCATATAAAATCTTTATTTTTTTGAGAAAATTACCCACAAATTCTTGGAACAGTCCATGACCTGTTACTCAAATTGCGTCCACTAGAAGATAACGACAAATACTTTTTCCAGTCATCAATCACCATCCTAATGTCATGGACCTTGTTGCCCAGCCCAAAACAGCAATTTGCATGCATAGTGACCACAAGGTCCAGATCCTCGCTGGGCTCACAGAACCCGCCGAAATAGGCCGTGTCCAGAAACCGGATCCCCAGCCCAATATCTTGGATAAACGGGTCAAACTTGATTATGTTAAGCACGTCTTGGTCGTGTTGCCCCGGGAAGCGTTCTCGACTCTCGTACCAGAATTTGTAGAACCGGACAGTTCGATTGTTGGACCGAACATAATTGAAACCCCCATTCGGCAAGTTGTTCCGGTCCGTGGAGTTGAACGAATAGTAGTGGCAGGCAATTTGAAAGTCAACGTCTTGATAGAACTTTTTGAATGGGTCCCGCAACCACATCACGTCAGCATCCTGCGTGTTATGTAATACTTGATTTAATTTTCAAACTCTTATGCTAGTGGTTCATAAATCTTGATTTAATTTTCAAACTCTTACACAAATACACACACATTTTATTTTATTTTATTTTTACATTTGAACATTGATTTTCCAATTTTTACTTAGGTTATTCCTCAAAATATTATTAATTACTAACATCAAATTAAATTGCCAAAAAAAAAAAAAAAGGTTTGTTCGTGTAGGTGTACATACCGTGAAAACGAAGTCAAATCCCATCTGAAGAACCGTTGTTAGAAAATCAATCCTCCTCCACATCATCTTCAAATAATCTTCGGACATGAAAAAGGCTTCGCCGGAAAAGTCGACACCTTGGGTGGTGAGAGCGTAACAGTGGAGAAATCGGGCTTTCAAACAACGAGAATGAGCCTTTTGGTCCAAAGTCGCGACCACGACATGCCTCAACAGCTTTTCGGTCCCGTTTCCAATTTTGAAGCTCTCTATGAAAAGGTCGAAAATGGAATTTGGCTGTGTCCACGCCGCGTTTAGGGTGGTCATTATCACTGTTTTATTGTCCTTCATCACTGCTTTTCTAAGTGTGTCCTCAAGTATTTTGTTCTCTTCATTTACCTAATTATTATTTATAATTAGTTAACTATTATCATGAGGACCATGCAATTGGAAAATGGCTGGAGACCAAAAAGACTAAAAGAGAAAGTTCAAAAATAATAATCCAACCGAAGACTAAGAGACAAATTTTAAAAATACTAATCCATTGTGACAGCAGTAGACTTTAATTTTTTTAACAAAAAATAAAGTTGTACAAAGTAGGGTCACACATGACTTGAATTTAGACATGGCCAAAACATGGGCCGACGGACCGGGAATCATTGACCCTGAACTGGAACGGCCCTAGGTCGTGCCGGGTCCATGGCCCGGAGGGACATTATTATTTATTTATTTATTCTAAAATACATATTTTCTTTTCTTTTTACCCCGGTGTTGAAGACTAATATTTTTCTTCTAAATCTAAGATTAATTCAACCTAATTAAAACACAACAAATCCTCCGTCCTATAATGTATATTCATATATAGGTTGATCATTAGCCGGACATGACGAGCTCATTTCTTATATTTTTCTATATTTTCCAAATGGTAAAAGAAGAATATATATAACAAAAAAAAAATCATAAATTTGTCCAAAAAAATAAATACTTAGATACTTCAACTCACCTTAGAAGGTAGGTTTTGGAATGTAACATTGTCTTGCATGATGGGAGAAGATAAGTTTGATGTTGTAACTGATTTATTCGGCCCCGAAGACGGTGAAAATGAATAAGGCCTTTGAAAAAATTGTGTTGGAGGGTAAGATGATTGATTGAGAACAAGGTAAATTAATCCCACGGCGGCAAATAAGATCGCGATTCTTACGATTGTGACCGGAAAATAGTACTGGCGGCGATGGTGGTGGTGGTGGCGGTGGTTGTAGCCACCGGAGTCGAGGAGATTATCTTCATCGGAGGCTTTAGTGATGGAGCTAATTTCATTTTGTGAATTCTTTTTTTTTATTCTTTTTTTCTTTTGGTACACTTGTGAATCCATTATTTTCTCTTCTCAAGCATTATGCTAGTTTGAGGAGAGAATTATCTTGCACAGTGTCACAGTAAATATACTGAGACCAAGTTAACTCAAAAGATTTTCTAGATTTTAATTATTAAAACCAAAGAGAGAGAGACAAAAAAAAAATGTATTTTAAAATCTCAAGAAAATGACAAAGTAAATTACTTTAAATTTGTTTCATATTATTTTAATGCTTTTGTAAAATCCTCGTTTATTCGTTGATATATTACTTTCATATTCAAAACTGATGCAGAATAATATTTATTATTTTTAGTACAAAAATATTTGGTAGTTTAACTAGTGTCTATTATCATTATTAGTAATTAATATTTATTTGTTATAAAGCCTTGGTGAACAAGTTATTGTTAGGGTTTAAGAGCTTTATATAAAGGATTCTATTTCTTTTGTTATCTTCAGTTGATTTTGAATCAAGTAAGATTTGATTGCTTTTATCGAAAGAGTATTTCGTTTATCTTTTATATTCGTACGCTTTCCTATATCAGTTGGTATCAGAAGTCAGCACGATCCACGACGCTACTGCGAAGACAAGGTGCTGCAGACGACAGACATGATGCCGCCATCTACAACCTGAGCCGTCGGGCGGAAGGGTTTGGCTGTCGGTTCGAGAAGTGTTTGTTATATTTTTGTGTGTTTTATTGTGTTTTTATTTGCTTGAGTCGAGTATTTTTAGGTTCCGTTTGTGCGTTCCGGTCTATTTTGTGTTCGTTTTTATTAGTTTTTCGTTTTTGAGTCGTTTTCGTATATTTTTCTATCTTCCTTGTGCGCTTTGGTGTTTTATAAGCCCGGAGGAAAGGAATCGATTAATAGAGTTGAGTTTCAAGTCCAACGGAGTCCCGTGTGATGACTTAGAGCTTTTTGAAGTCGAACCGGGACAAAATTCCAAGGACAGCATTTCATTTCTTTAAATCCACGCGCGCGAAATCCATTTCGCGAGGTACAACTCATTTCGCGGATTCACGCATGGCCAGAGTCAGAATTTCGAGCCTGCGAAATCGTCTTCTATCCCGCAAGTTTTTCACCTATCCCGCGAAACCGACGTAATTCGCGAATTCTCGAGCTGAAGCCGCGAGTTCCATTCTCCTAGCCCGCAAAAATGTCGCAAGCCGCGAGTTCTTCTGATGTACGTCTAAGCCGCGAGTTTCAATGCCTAAGCTGCGAATTCTCGTCTTCTATCCCGCGAACGCCACTTAACCCGCGAGTTTTGCCCTTATCTGCGAAATTCAGCTGCGAAAAAATTAATGTCCTATCCTGCGAATTAATATACCTTGCGAGTGTTCCCTTTTTAATGTGCGTTTTTAGTGTGTGTTTTGCCTATTAGCAGTGGCGAAACCATTAAGAAAGTCGGAGTGGCGCCGACCCCTCCAAAAAAAAAAAAATTAAACTAGAGGTGGAGGATTTTGCTGGAACTAGAAGATTTTGCTTTGAGCGCGCATGTTGGGCCCTCCCTGGTTTCATGCGGTACATACATGGTCGGAGGGGCGCCACCGGTTTTGTCGTGAAAATATTTTTTAAAGGTAAATTGGGCTCACCCCGAAACGGGATCCTAGTTTCGGGACAAGGAGAACTATAACAGCAGCAGAATTTAATAATTTTTTTATTTTTATTATATTTTGAGTTGATTAATTAGCCGACTTGCAGTGTACCGACGGGACTAAAAAACCGAGTCGATCATTACCGAAAAATACTTTTATGAAAGTACGGGAAGCGAAGAGTGCGTTGGTGGCATCGATATATGATTTTGAGGTCCCGACCATTTATTTTGGGTAGCCCGAAGTTGAGAAAAAAGTGGCAGCGGCGGTGATTTTATTGTCATTTTCATGTCTAGACTTCGGGTAACCGTCGGCCCTCGTTAGGCGTGCTGAAAATTAGCGGGAGTGCTTTCCTGACAGCACGAGAATAGTAGAAGTCGTTCGTAAAATTTATTTCACGTTTCGAAGTTTCGAGCATTTATTTTGAGAAGCTCGAAGTCGAGTGCGCATAATAGAATAATAAAAAGCCGTTTTGCGGGGTCCCGTAAGGTTGCGTGTGACCTCGGTTTAACGAGAATCGAGTTGGAGCGTGTAGACAATTCAAGCACGATTCCATACGGACAAATTTTGCATTTTTTGAAGTTTCGAGCATTTATTATGGGAGTTTGAATTTCTGCGTTAAATAGTATCAAAAGGAGCAAATTTGTCGAGGACGAGTTCGATCGTTCGAGGCTTCGTTTTCTCAATTTTTTCAGCTTTTCGTCTATTCGAAATGAGGTATAATTTCTTGATTATTATTATAATTGTGTTCGAGATTTTTATTAGTATAAATTCGAGTATTTTTTGAGTTAAAACAATTCAGTTTAAGTATAACAGTTTAATTCCGGACTTAGTTTGATTTTTAGAAAAATATCTAGAGTATTCTTTTATATCCTGCAAAAATTTTTGAGAGCGTCCACAAAAGCCCTTTGAGCGCCCTTCCGATGCCGGAGTGGGGGTGGGGCGCCGCGGGATGCCGGAGTAGGGGTGGTGCGCCGCGGCAAATTGGCCCTCCCCGGGATGACCGGCTGGTTTTGCCACTGCCTATTAGTATAAATACATTTGATGCTTTGTATTTTGGACATCCAACTTTCATTATATCAGTTTTTCCTTTTTTGAACATTAGCTTATGTTTTAAGTTTCTCTCTAGAGTAAGGCATGTATGGTTCTTATGATATTTTCCGGCGAATTTTCCGATGACTTCTTTTTTATTCAAGTTCGTATCTTTTTGTTCCGATTTTGATCAAGCACGCATTAGAGGTGTAAGTACTTAACTTCAAGACTTAAAATCTCGATTTTTGCACCGTCTTACTATCTCATTAGTAGAAGTAATTAGGGCTTGCTCGTTTGAGGGATTTTAATGGCTTGTTTAGTTTATTTTCGTTCTCTTTCCTTTTGTGAGATCGTTTATTGTGCTTGGGATTAGTTGAAGTAAGGATAGCTACTAGAAAAATCGTGACTTGTCTTTTGGCTCGGTTATTTTGTAGTAGGATTTTGATTTGACTCTTAAGCATGCTAAATGAAGTTCGTTTCTCTTGTTTTCGCTTTTCAAGCTCGTGTTTTCGTTCACCGGTTTAGGAGCTAGGGTTTCTAAGTTCGATTGCTTACCTAATTGCTCGTTTACTTGCTTTCATTAGTCGTAATTAGTGTTAATCAACCTCTACCCAAATTGATTAGTATGTTTAGGACTTTATTTTCCATTTTTATGATTTGAGCAATTGAATAGTAAGTAAAGCTCCGAATAGCCTTCCTTCGAGATCGACCCGAGTCGGGTAGCTCGGTTATCCCTTGCCCACCAAACCTCTACTAAACAAATGGCGCCGTTGGCGGGGAAGGCAAGTAGGACGCCTAATTTGCTATTTGATTGTTCCTTTTTCTCGTGTTTCTCTTGATTTTTGTGATTTTTGCTTAATTTCCGTATTTCTCTTTATTTCTCTTGATTTTCTAGGTAATTTTCGTTCTAGTTTGTGTTTTCATTTTCGATTTTTCCCTTGCTTTCCATTGGTGCATTCACGGGTATAGTTTGTGGTTTTGTTTATGCGAGGTAAACGAGGGCGTAAACCCCGAGAGGAGCCACCGCCATTCGACCTCTTCGTTGAACTCAACATCGACGAACCACAACCCGAGCCCGAAACCGAATCGATGGCGGGACAAGAAGAACAATTGCCACCACTACCTCCCCCGAACATGAGATATTTTGCACGGCCTAGGAGACTCGGGGACAAACCTCGAGGTTAAACCAAGGTAATAATCGTCCTAACGACTTTCATTTGGAAAAAGTAGCTCATTAAATAAAAAAATAAAAAAAAGAAAAAAAAAAGAAAAAGAAGAAGAGTTGGCATATTGTTCTCGTGCTTATCACTTTATGTTTAGTAGATCATTATAGTTTTTGCACGTGTATGTAGACGAGGGAGTGTGAATTGAGTGATCATGTGTAGAATAACTCGGGATGGATTTTTGTTTTGTATGGATTTGCTATGTGGGGACTGTGTTTTCGGATTGGATTTTGATTTTAGGGATAACCGGATGATAATGAGAGTCTCATTTCACATGCTCGTTAATGATGGACCGTTCGATTTTTCTTTTCGAGCTACTTGTTGTTTTGTTTGCTTGAGGACAAGCAAAGAGTTAAGTGTGGGAGAGTTGTTCGTTGTGTTTTGTGCTTATTTTCGTGTGTTTTATGTGTTTTAGTTTAGTGTTTTTAGGTTCATTTTAGTGTCGACCGGTCCATTTTATCGTGTTTCGTGCATTTTTATTCTCGTATCATGTTTTTGTGGTTCGGCGTTCTTATCTTGTCTTTTTGGTGTTGTTTAGGTCCACATTATTCGATCTTGGGAAGACGAGCCATTTCCGAGACATTTTCGAGTCGTCCGAACCATGTTCGAGCCACACGGGCCATTTCCGAGCCGTTCCGGGCATATTATTAATTGCATGGTGATATCAATTTGTGCATCTCAAGACGAGGAGAACGAGATTTGGAAAGCGTGGGTCAAAGTTTCAAGCATGGTTTTTGATCGCGGGCTATGGAAAATAGCGTCTGGCATTTCTGGCCGCTATTCGACGCTATAGCGCAGCTATACCGCCGCTATGGCCGCGCTATAGTGCCACTATAGCATAGTAGTGCCATGCTGTTTTTGCCGCTATTCGCGCTATTCGTGCTATTCGCGCTATTTGGCGCTATAGCGACGCTAGCGCCGCTATAGCGCCAAATAGCGCGAATAGCGGCAAAAACAGCAATAGCTTGGCGTTAGCTGATCTGAGCCGCTATAACGGCGCTATTGCGCTGCTATAGCGCGCTATTTAAAACCATGGTTTCAAGTCAATCGGATAAGTGTGCGCGAAGTTATGGTGAATCGAGCATCAAGGGGCCATTGAACCATTTCCAGCCCGTGAAAACG